TTTTTTTTTTTTTTTTTTTTTTTTTTTTACAAAGTTTAGATAAAACATATTTTCTTTATATTTAAAAATTTTTTGTCTGCATTTTTCATATAATATTTTTTTTTACTTTTTTGTTCTTTCTTTTTATTATTTCTCATTAATTCATCCTTTATACTTTAAAAATTTGATTAATTTGTTTTAATGAAAATTATTATTAAGGATATAATTATTCATCTCTTCAATATTATTTTTTTGTATAGGATTATATACAGAAATTTTGTTGTAGATCTTTTTTTTATTCTTATCAAATTTTAAACTTAAAAAGCTCTGCAAAAAAAAAAAAAAAAATAAAAAATAAAAATAAAAATAATAAGAAGAAGAAGAAATAAAAGGAATTAAAATAATAAAACCAAATTATTAAAAGATCAAACAAAATATGACAAAATAAATTAAAATAATGTAAAATGAATAATGTGAAAGACATAAAAAAATATACAAAATATATTTACTATAATTAAAAAAATAAATATGCATATTGTTATTAATAGGAAATATTAATCTTATTTTTAATTTGTATTTTTATATAAAATAGATTTTTATATTTATTAAAATAAATATTTTGTATTACATCATAAACTAAATTTTTAAAGTAGAAACTAGGTATTATTATTAAAGCAAGCCATGTAAAATGTATTAAATTTTTTTTTTTTTTCTTTATAATCATTTTAAAAAAAAAAAAAAAAAGTTGTATTCTTCAAAATATTATATATTTAAATTTGAATTTTATATATTAATTGTAAACTTTTTTTTTTTTAGTGATATTTTTTAAATGATATATATTTCGTTTTTAGAAAAAGTAGTACAAGAAATATTCTTATGTAAAAATGTATATAAAGTATATTGTAATAAATAAATTAATTCTGTATGTTAATTTTTTAAGAAAGCTACAAGATAAAAAAAAAAAAAAAAAAATCAATCTGAAAAGATATAAGTTATAAAATGGTATTCTATTATCTTGTTTTTTTAATAAATTTTATAGTTTATTATTATTATTTTTAATTTGTAATTTTTGTAAATAAACACATAAGAAAATTCTTGACTACTTAAATTTTTTAATACGTTATTTATATAAATAAAACATAAATGAAGAATATAAATAGAAAAAAAAAAAAAAAAATAATGAAATATAAAAAAATAAATTTATATTTTTTAATTAAAATTATAAGAAAAAAAAATATATATATATATATGTGGAATATTTGTAATTATTTTTTTTTTTTTTTTTTTTTTTTTTTTTTCTGTATAAAATATAAAATTTATAATAAAATATATGTATTATTATTTTTAAATTTTCAAGAACATATATCATTATGTTTTTAAGAGATTATTTTTTTTTTTTTTACATTTTATATTAATAAAAAAAAAAAAAAAAATATGAATTACCCAGAAGATACATCACATATTAAAAAATGGTTTTTCAAAAATGAAAAAGAAATAAATGATATATGTTTAAAAAAATATAATGATTTTAAAGAAAAATTTAAAAATTATAAAATTAGTATACCTAAATATAATGATATAGAAAAGACGAAGTTATATTTTTGTTATCAGCTTACGCATTTTTGTGAAATTAAAATGTTAAAAGCTCAAATAGTCGAATGTGCTATTTTATTATATAACAGATTTTATTTAAAAGAAATTATTTTAGTTTATGATCCTAGAATTTTAATTTTCACTTGTATTATATTAGCTATAAAATTAGAAGGATATGGTAGAATGTATAAAATGAATGAATTTTTTAGTGATATAGATATAAATTTAGATAAAGTATTAGAACATGAGAATATAGTTTGTTCTTCCTTAGATTTTGAGTTGAATTTTTTATATACTAAAGAATGTATTTATTACTTAAAAAATAAATTTTTAAATTATATAAAAAAATATATAAATAAAGATAATGAATTAAATAATTCTTTTGAAAATATATGTGATAAAATTTATATTAACACATCAAATGACTGTTTGAAAGTTATTGAGAATTTTTTTATTACCTTTACTTATACTCCCTCTCAAATAGCATTATACTGTTTTATAAATAATATAAAAATTTATTTTAATATTGTTAATGCAGATAAATTTATTTTAGAGTTTATTACTAATAATAACCAAATTCTCTTTCAAAAATTAAAAAATAAAATTGATGAGCTTCATATCAAATATAAAAATCATCTAGATTTAAGAAACACATTTGATGATGAAAATACGACTAAGCAAATAGGTGAGACATTAGATATGTGCATTGATATTTATGAGCTTTTAAGAAAAAAAAATAGTAAAAAATCTAGAAAAAAAAAACTGAATGATGAAGATAATACTCAAAACGAATCTAATAAAAAAGTTGATATAAAAAATGAAAACTAAAAGAGAAATATCAAAAAAATGATTATATTAATTCATTTTCTTTTGTCAATGGAAATTATTAAAGAAAATTTTTAAGTGAATTTTTTTTTCTATATATTAATTAAAATGAAATATAGTTGTAATATTTAATATTATATATATATATATATATATATAGGTATATAATTTATTCCTATTTATATAAAAGAATTAATATTATTTTGTTAGAACAAATATATTAGTCAAATTTGATTAAGTTAATTTTTATGCAAAAATATTTAAGGTTTTTTTTCCTTTTGATTTAATGCTTTACAGCATCTAATGGCCGTAAAAAGTAGTGTTTCTATTATTTCATTATAGTATAATTTTAATATAAAAAATATATATATTTTTTTAATATATATGTGTATTAAAAAACATAACATAATTTTTTATTTTTTGTCTTTTTTTTGAAAAAAAATAATAAAATGAAAAAAAAAAAAAAAATATTTGTTTATTATAATAAAAATTATATATATATATATATATATAAAAAAAAAAAAAAAAATTAAGTTATTCCTCGAAAATTTTTATTTTTATTTTTTAATATATTTGTGTCATAAATTATTCATTTATATGAGTAAAAGGTGCAACCAAAAAATTTGATCTATATTTCATTTTAACATTCAAAAATCTTAGAATAAAGGTATTACTGTGAAAAAATTCATTTAAATCTTTTATACTTTTACTATTAGAATAAAATGTAATACAATAGAATCTAGCAAAGTGGAATGTACCTACCTTTGGCTTTTTTATACAAAAGGCAAATTTTCTCCAACCTAAATCATTTATATTTATAATATTACCATTATATTTATTTATAATAAAATTGAAATTTTTCATTAAATTTTTCACGTCTTCTTTTTTTATATGTTTATTTAAGGCTATATATGATTCATACAAAACCATTTTTTTGAAACTTTCTTTTTAAACATATTTTCTTGATTTTATAGAAATACTTATATTTGAAACTATTATGTTTTTTTATTTTTTTTTTTTTTTATTTCTATATTAAAAATTACATTAATAAAATATATTTATAAAATATATTTTTTTCTTATATGTATGTATAAGATATAATCTTCAAAATATATAAAAGGTTTACTCTATTTCATAAAAATGGCTAATTCTTTTTGTGTTGAAATATTAAAATACTTTATAATCCATTTGGAAATAAAGAAATTAAAGAGATAATTTTCAAACATAAACTTTTGCAAATAAAGATAAATATGAAAAAAAAAAAAAAAATAAAATAAAATAAATCAATAAAATAAATTAAAAAGATAAATATTAAATTTTAAAAAAAAAAAATACAAAAAAAATTAAAGAAAAAGAAATAAATTGCTAAAATTATATTTTAAAAACATAAAATCAGAAAAACAAAAGTTTAATAAAAAAAAAAGAAAAAAAAAAAAATATTAAAAATAAAATGATAAATAAAAAATATATACAAATATTTAATGAATTTTAAAAAATAAAAAGTAGGAAATAGAGCACAAATAAAATAATATAAAATTTCATTAATATAATTTTATTATCCTATATTCAATAAAAGAAAAACAAAAATAATTTTTCAAATGTCATGTATATATTCAGCTACTGCTACACTATTATTGCCAATTTAAAACAAAATAGAAAATGAGGGATGGAAAAAGATACTCAAAACTTTATCAATTCACATTTATTTCATGTCTGATGGAGACTAAAAAAAAATTTTACATTCATATTATGTAATAGATATATATATATATTTTAACTTATTAATTTAAATATACTTTTTTTAATATATTTTATTTATAATAAAAATACGAACACATTTTTTCGTTTTTAATTTTAAATTAAAAAATATAATAAAAATATTTAAGTTTTTTTTTTTTTTTTTTTTTTTTTATTTAAGAGTTATTACATGAAATGGTTGCAATGTTACTTCCTCAATATTTATCAATTGTTTAATAAAATACTCAGCACTAACATATTTTGTTTTTTTATTTTCACAAACAAAGTCAATCAAATTTCTAACTTTTCCATGTGGCCATTTCAAATTTAACTAAAAAATTCGAATTTACAAAATAAAATTAAATATTGTAATAATCTCAATATTATGAATACACGTTATATTAATATGTATAAAAAGTATTAAATTAAAAAAAAAAAAAAAATACATATTTTTATTCTTACCTCTGATAATATTTTTTTTAAACTATTTACATCAATAGCAGATAAAGATTTCCATGGAATACCATAGACTTCTTCAAACAAAGACTGTAAAATAAAAATTAAAGGAAAATAATACAATATAAAAAAAAAAAAAAAGTTTAAATAATTAACTTTATTTTAATATATATTCTCTTTACTTGAACGGCATTAATGTCCAAAAGTTCAACTAAAATCTGTTTAACTATAATAATAAGTACAAAAAACTCTTCTTGATTTAAACCATTTTTATTATTTCTATCAAATACTTCCAAGAATTCCTAAAAAATAGTTAAAAAAATATCATATTTAAAATTTGCTTTATCCTTTATCTTTTTTTTTTTTTTTTTTTTTAAAAAAGTTTATATTAATATTTATTATTATTTTTTTTTTTTTCTTTAAACATTACTTTAATATCATTTTCTGAAGTTAAATTAATTCCTTGTGATTTCAAAAATTTTAAAATTTTTGCTGAATCTATAATCCCTCTATTTTCTTCATCTAATCCTACCCATATACTAAACATTTTTTCTTGTATATTTGATGGTACTGTATTTGATTTAATTAACAACTGTCTCCAAAATACTTCTCCACCTTCTTTTAAAGCATGTAAAGTAGACTAACAAAAATATAACAAAAAAAAATAAATAAATAATAAGAATACATAAAAAATATAACAATTTAAAAATATAGAAAAAAAAAAAAAAATTTTAACCTTTATTTTTATAGCATCAATAAATTCTGATATTCTTTTTATGTTATCAGATCTTTCAAATTCCCATACCTAAAAAATAAAAAAAAAGGTAATATATATTTATCCTAATATTTTTGATTTTTTTTTGATTTTTTTTTTTTTTTTTTTACTTTTTCTAATAATTTGGTATCTATTAAATATCCAGTTTTGCTAATCATAATATTGTAATAAATTATATATTTTAGGATAAAGAAAAAAACTAAAATACATACACATATAGCTATACTTCCATAACTATATAATTGGAACCAAGTTATATTATCTACCCTTAGTAAGAATATCCAGCATGATAATATGATTAAAAAGCAGAAACATAATGTCTAAAAATTCAGTAAATATTTATATATTTATGAATTCAAAATTATTTAGTATTTAGAATTAATTCTTTTTAAAAACCAAAAAGTTTTTATTATATATATCTTATTTTTACTTGAAAAATAAAGTTAATAAGAGGTGGGCCATTCCCCCAAAAATAAAATAGTTGTTCATGCTTATTTGGAAATGTTGTTTTGAAAAAAAAATAATTCAATGTAGAAGGATATATTGACTAAAAAAAAAAAAAAAAAAAAAGAAAAAAGAAATTTTATTAAATAAAAAATAAATTTGTATTTTTAAACTATTTATTAAATTACTAAAATTTATAAATATAAAATTTTTTTTACTTTTTGTTTCGATAATTTATAATAAGGGATAATATCTTTTTTACTTTGTTCAGACGATTCAATATGATAACGATTTAGTAAATATTTTGAAATGTCTTTTGGTAATAGTTTTTTGTCTATGTTATACAACTATAAAAATTAATAAAACAGAAAATTACTTATATTTTTTGTAATATTTTTTTTAAACTTGCATAAATAATATCATATTGATATTCCAAATATCATGTATATAAAATTTATTATATCTATATATATATATGTATTTTTCTTTTTTTTTTTTTTTTTTTTTTACGTAAAAAAATAAAAGTATTAATCCAGTAATACAAATTAATGATAAAGTGTTTAAAAAAATAACCTCTGCTTTTAATCTTATATTAAAAAATGGTCTATAAAGAAAAAAAAAAAAAAAAAAAATAGCGTTTTTATTACAAATAATAATATTTGAAAATCTTCAATTTTTTTAATTACAAACCTTAAAGAAATACATATGAATATTAAAAATAATATAACAGTATTTGGAATTTTTATTAATTTGACATTATATTTTAGTAGACATGCTCTCATATACTCATAATAATAATATCCATTCGGATCTAAACCAGGAATACTTATAGCATCAACATTTTCAGAAAAATCATATCTATAATTATAATATAAAAATGTATTTTTTTATAATTTACTTAAATATATCAAAACATAATTTTTTTTTTTTTTTATTCTTTTTTTGTATTTTTTCTTATATGTATAATATACCTATGGGCTAAATATTTAGAATTTCTAACATTCTTTAAAAAAAAAAAATTAGGAAGACATCTTCTTTTGGAATTTTTTATCTCTTTCACTACACTTGAAACATCACAATTATCAGCTTCTGAAAACCACTTTAATATTCTTCTTGTTACAAAATGTATGTTTATTATAAATATAGAATAACTTAAAAAAAAAAATAAAAAAATAAAATAAAATAATATAGTAAAAAGTTTTAATATTATATTATTAAAATTGTAAATGTATATTATATTTACTTATTTACCATACTAAAAAATTCATAGAAATAAAAAGAATTTTTTCAAAAATTATTTCTAAAAGTGGTTCCACATTATGAAGAACTTTATCAACATTTCTTTCTTTTGGTAATATCTGAAAATAAAATATATAAAAAAAAATTATTCATACATATATAATATATATATATAAATATATTATTGAATTTTTATCATTTTTTTTTTTTTTTTTTTTTTCTTTTTTATTATTTATTTATTTATTTTATATTTATTTTTTTCCCATTTCAACTTTATGAATTTTTATTTTTTCCTTTTTTGTTAAAATTTTTATATACTCACATCATTAAAAATAATTTCATCTAAAGCTTCTGCAATATTTGATTGAAGAATTCCCCATATCGTTAAATTAATTATTGTTATTAATGATATTTGTCTAAATGCTGTATTAAGTAGATCTTTTCTAAATTGATCTTTTGAATTTCTAACGCTTTTTTCAATAAAATAAACTATATTTTGTATAACCAAACTAAAAATTAATGTAAATAATATTATAAATAAAAAAACACAATTTTTCTTATTTTCAAATTCCCATAAAGTTTCCTTTGCTTCATCATTAACACTGCAAAAATCTGGTCCAAATGATTCATAATTGCAGTCTTTTAAAATTAATTTTTCATGTTCAAATTTCTCATGTATATTTGATTTTATACCTAAAACAAATTTTATATTCTTAACTAATTCATGTACATCTAAGAATTCTTTAATATCTTTTCTTCTTAAATTAAAATTTTTATTTGATGCATTTTTTTCAATAATATTATACACATATTCATGAATATTGTTTTTTGGATTTTCTTTGTTTCTTTTAGATATTAATAATTTTATTTCGTCATTTTCATCATTATCTTTAATAATATCATTATTATTCTTTTCACTTATATTATTTATTTGCTCTTTTCCTTGTTTTACTACTTCATTATCTATTTTTGTTTTACTTTCTTCATTTATAGTCTCTATTTGATTATTTTCATTTTTTACACTTTCATTTTTTACACTTTCATTTTTTACACTTTCATTTTTTACACTTTCATTTTTTAGACCTTCATTTTTTACACTTTCATTTTTTAGACCTTCATTTTCTGTTTTCTTTTTATATACTTCGTTTATGCTCTGATTATTTTTGCTTTCAATTGAAGTTTTATCATTTTCTTCATTCTCTTTTTTATTCTTTTCATCTTCTTCATTCTCTTTTTTATTCTGTTCATTATCTTCATTCTCCTTTTTATCCTTTTCACCCTCTTCATTCTCTTTTTTATTATAATTTCCAAAATAACTTTTTACTAATTCTATATTTTTATAAAAGTTTAAATTCTTAAGTATATTGCTTAAATTCATATTGTTAGAACTATCATCATTTTCTGTTTTCGTTAAATCTGACCAATTTGAATGTTCATGCCTTTTTACGACTTTATCAATTTGACCATTATAATTACCTTCATCTAATTTTTTCTGATAAATTGTATCATTTTTAATTGGATTTAAATTAGTCTTTTCATTTTTATCATATTGAATGGGTCCTCTTCCTAAAGAAGTTTCTTGAATATTTGAATTATCTTGTTTAATACTACTATTATTATTTTCATTATATATTTTATTTTCTTTTTCTTCATTTTCTCTGCTTATATATTCATCTTTCTTTTCTTTTTTTCCTTCTTCTTTTCTTATATAAGATTTAATATCATCTTCATAGTTTTCTCTTCCTTTTTCATTACTAGATATGCTATTAATAATATTTCCTTTTTTAGCAGCTTTTTGTAATTTTCTTAATTTTTTAGCTTCCATTTCTTTTTTCTTAATAGTCTTATCTAAGTTTGATTGAAAAAATAATAGATTTTTTAGTTTTCCAATGTTATAAAAATCATTTTCCTCTTCTTCCAACTGACGATAATTTAATTTATAACTATTAACATCTTTCTTTATTTTATATTCATTCTCTCTTGAGATATTTTTCTCAAAATAAAATTCTTTTAAAATGCTTAATGGATATTTTAAAAAAATCTATAAAAAAAGAAAAAGTATCATAAATATTAAAAAAAAAAAAAAAAGATAATATAAAATTCTTTTATATATATATATATATATATTTATAATAATAATAATAATAATAATAATCACAGTTGTTATGGAAAAAATGATAATTAACAATTTATCACATTAATTATACATATAAAATCAATAAAATATATCATAATAGGATAATACTAATAAAAATTTCTGACAACATATTTCTATTTATAATATAGATAAAGAATAAAATAAAAGAAAATTAATATAAAGAAAAATAATAAAATGTTTGAATATTTCTATACAATAAAAAAAATAGAACAAAACTAAAAAGAAATATATTATAAAAAAAAATTTAAAGAATAAATAGAGAACAGTGTAAAAAAAGAAAAAATAAAATAAGAATAAATATATAAATATTTATTTGTATATATATAAAAAAATGAAATTTTTTAATATAAGACAATAAATATTTATTATATATATATAAAATGTATTTTATATATTATCTAAAGTATTTTTCTTTTCTTTTTTTTTAGATTTCTAACGAACACATAACAAAATTAGAAAGTAGAACTTTAACATATTCAACTCCTGGTACAAAGTATTAAAAAAGAATATAAAAGATGTTAAAATATATATTTTATTTTAATAAATAAATTAAAAAAAATACATAAAAAATTTTTCATTAACAATATTTGTATTTTTACTTGTTACAAAAAAAAAAAAAAAAAAGTTTTTAGTTGATTTGTTCTGTTTTCTTTCCTTTTTTTTTTTTTTTTTTTTTTTTTCTTAAAATAAAAGTATTATTCTAACCTTAAAAATATGATTGATGTTTTAATTTATAAGTTACCATTTATTTTCTAAAGTATAAAATTTTCAAATTTGTCATGTTTTTTCTATAAAATTCTAAAAAAATAACGAAAAAGAGATTAATAGTTACATTAGTAATAAAATATATAATTTCCTTTTATATGCACTTTCTTTAAGTTTCAATAAAAAATTAGATTATTGTAATTCTTATTTTAAACTTTAAAGAATGATACTTTTTTTTCAAAATTATTTTAATTTTTTTCTTTTTTTAATCTCTTTAATTTTTAATACAAAATTTATTTTCATATATTTTTTACTTTTAATTTTTTATCTTATATACATAAATTTTTATCATTTATGCTTAATATATATAGAAAAAAATATATATTCACCTTTTCAATAATTATCTATAATACACTTTATACAGTTTTGTATCATTTAATTAATAACAACAAAATTTCTAAATTTTAATTAGTAATTATTTACCATTTATTATTCACAAAAGCAAATTTTTAATAGTGCAAAAAAATAAAAAAAAAAAAAAATTATGTCTTATATAGATATTCACACACTTTAGAACAAAATGAGATGTAGGCAACCAGGTGCACAATAAAAATAAATTGAAAAAAATATTATAAAAAAAAAAGAAAAGAAAATAATAACATATATTTGATAGCATAATAATAGTAAATGTCCATATGATATTATGTTGTTTATTTGGTATAATGTCAATGATATTTTTATTATATAAATATTAATGTTATTATAAGTATACATTATTAAGACCACTTTTTATTTTTAAGAATATAGATTTACCTTTTTTTAAATAAGTAAAAATGGAGGAATAATAAAAAAAAAAAAAAAAATGAAATTTATATATTTATATTATTATTATTATTATTAACTTTATATTTATTATAATTTTTCTTATTATCAAATTATTTTTTAATATAATTTTTTCTTAGTATTTTAGCTAATTCATTGTACTTTATTTTTTATTAAATGTTTTATTCACATAGATCCCTTTTTAAGTTATAAAAAAACATTGAGAACATAATAAATATATTATGTATCTTATTCGTAATTTTTTTTTTTTTTTTTTTCTCTTTTTCTTATTTTTTAGTTTTAAATATAAAAGTAAATTTATTATACCAAAAAAGTTCATTTAAAAATAATAAAAAAAAAAAAGAAATATAGTACAAAAACAAATAATTTAAAAGATAGAGAAGAAAAAAAAAAAAAAAACTTTTATTATGTAATGATTTTTATTTTTTTTTCTATTATCTCCTTTGAAAAAAAAAAAAAATAAATAAATAGCTAAATAAATATTAGGAATACAATATATGTATATATATATAATATATATTTAAAATTAAAACTATTTTTAAGTATTATCAAAATCATTATTTTTAGAATTTTCCTCTATTTCGTCTAATTTACTTTTAAAAAGATTAACAATAAGATAAATTTGATTATTAACTTCATCATAAACTTTTTTATGATGTAAAAATCTTAAAACTTTGAATGCTTCTACGTTATTATAATATTTTTTTGTTAAAGGATCAAAATATTTTCCTTCTAAATTTGTTATGGCACAAATTTTATTTTTATTTTTTATTTTTTCCAATATTTCCTTATTATTATTGTAATTACTGTATATTTTTAAATCATTAGGATCTGTAACAATGTAAAGCTGTTTTTCTTCTATAGGAATATTATTCTCTTTTTCTTTTAATAACAAAGGAGCGTTTTTATTAGTAGATATTTTATTATTATTTAAAATTTCAAAATTTAATTCATCATTTTCATTTAAATATTCTATATTTAAATCTTCACAATTATCTAAATTTTCAATAGTTAATTTCTTGTTATCATTCAAATCTTCATTTTTTACCTTATCCTTCTCATTACAAATTTCCATTTCTAATTTTTTTTTTTCATTTTCTATTATTTCCTTATCATTTTCATTATCTCTTTTTTCATTTGATTCTTCTAATTTAGAAGATTGTATATTTGATTCGTTCGTTTGTTCTTTATCAAAATTATCCTTAACTTGAATAAATGAATCTGAAAAATCATTCATTCCTATATTTTCATTCGTTTTATTTATATCATAACTGTTTTTTACATCATTTTTTATTATATTAGTATTATCTGATATATTATTTTCTTTTAAATTATATATATTTTCTTCTCCTTTATTAGGATAACAAGGATCTAAGCTATATTTCAGATTTTCATTTAATGGATTAGTTTTATTTTTAGAATAGGAAAAACTAATAAAAATACTTTTAGGTTTATAATATATAATTTTCTTATTTTCAACATATTTTTTTTTTTCCTCTTCCCATGCTTGTAGTTGTAGTAGTGATTGCAAATTATACTGTTCAGTTAATTTTGCTTCTTCTAACCTTTCCTCTCTTGTCATCTCTCTTTGCATACATTTTTTTCTTTTTCTACTTTCATAAAATTTTTTAAAACGATTTTCTTTTTTTATTCTTCTCAATTCAGAAAGTTTTTGCATTTGTTCGGTTTTTTGCCTAGTAGTATCTCTTGTAGATCTATTTAACATTAGATACATATTTTCCAACTTTTTTTTTTTTTTTAATATCTTGTCATCATACAAATTTTTATCTTTTTTTATCTCTTCCGATTTCACTTCCTCATCACGTTTTTCTAGTGTATCATTATTTTTATTTTCTGTTAAATCATACTTTCTTTTTTTCATATAGTTATATTTTAATATATTATTTTTTTTTTGTTTTTTTAAATTTTCTAAATAAGAATACATTTTTTTTTTTTTTTTTTTCTCTTCATCATATTCATTGTCATTTTTATTTTCATCTTCATCTTCATCTTCTTCTTCTTCTTCTTCATCATCATCAAAATCAGAATCTGTTACATCTTTATATTCTTCTTCTCCTTCTGAGTTTACATATTCTTCATCAATTTCTTCTTCATCCCACATACTATCATTCCAAAAAATTTCATCTTTTTCTAAATCTTCACCGATTAATTTTTTCATATTTTTTCCTCTATTCTTTCTTTTTGGCATCTCAAGAGCTATCCCATAATTTTTTAATTCGTAATCTTCATCTTCTTCTTCATCATCTTCTTCATCTTCTTCATCTTCTTCATTTTCTTCTTGTTCTTCCTCCTTTTCCTCATCATCTCCCTCATTTTCTTCTTCATCTTCTTCATCTTCATCATCTTCATCTTCTTCTACTTCTTCTTCATCCTCATCTTCTTCCTCATTTTCTTCCTGTTCTTCTTCCTCTTTATCTTCTTTTTCAACGTCACTTTCATTGATTTTACTTTCATCAGATTCATCATCTAAACCATATATATTACTCTCTTTTTTTCTTCTTGTATTTTTTCTTTTTCTCATTATTCACTTATTAAAACTATTTCACATTAATTTTTTTTTTTTTTTTTTTTTTGAATTTAAAAAAGTTATATTTTTGTAAATATCAAATTTTTATTAAGAATTAAATTTTTATTTGTGTAGTTTTTAAGTCTCTCACAATTTCCTTTTATTTTTTTTTTTTTTTGTTCTTTAATTTTTATATTTTTTTTTTATATATTCTTTTTATTTTAATAATTATTTCAATTATTTTATTTCATTTTTATTTTTTATTTTTTTAATTTTAATCTTATCTATTATATATATTTTTATTATTATTATTTTTTTTTGTTTTTTCTCTAATAATATTCTATTATATTTGAACTTTTTTTTTTTTTTTTTTTGTTATATTTGTCAATGTAATAATAAAATGGTAAAAAAAAAAAAAAAAAAAAATAAATAAAAGTTATTTTTCAATATTATAATGAATTATTTCATGAAATATTTAAATAGAAGATTTATGAATTTATTTTTTATATTAATATGAAAATATTACTTTTTTTAGAAAAACAAAATATTAAAGTATCATAAAAAGATGATTTAAAAACAGGTTAAGATGAAATGCTAATTCCCATCATTGTAGGCTTTAATGCTACATTTTTTTTTTTTTTTTGATTTTATAAAAAATAGGAATACGAATTTTATAATATGAAATTTATAAAAAACATAATAAGATATAGGAAAACAGTTTTTTCACATTTTCATAAATCATATTTATGTAAAAAGTTTTTAAATTATCTTGATCCACATAATACAAATTGGAGATGCTTTTGTTTTTTATTAAAAAAGGATATAGATGAACAACATGAAAAGAAAAATATATGTGTAGTATATCAAAATGAAATAAAGGACATTTATAAGGATAATGAACTGAAGAAAAATGTTAAAATCATAAATAATAATATATGTGAAATAAATGAAAAGTTATTAAAGGAAAATTTAAATCAATATAATTTGTTCAATGTTTATCTTGATAAAATTAAAAAAAAAGAAAAAAAAAAAAAAATAATAAATCTAAATAGCGTAAAATATTTTGATGATTATATTTATTTGTTCAACTTAGAATCACTACTAGTGTATACTTATAATAAATTTAAAATATTTAAAAAAAAAAAGTCTATGACTAACAATGATTTTTATTATTTTTTTAAAATTTTTATACAATTTAATGTTATTTTAAATGATTTTTTTTATTATAAAAATGAAAAAAAATGCAACGAGTGTTTTATAAGTACATTCCAACCATATTTAAAGAATGTTAGTCTTATTAGGAAAATAGAGAAAACTTTTGATGAAAATTTCTACTTAAAAATTTTACAGATAATTAAAATATATAATCAAATTAATTTTTTTAATAAATTAAAAAATACAAATTTTCAAATTTTACTAAATCGATTAAATATATCAGATAGACAAAAACATTCATTAAGAATGAAAACCCCCCAAAAAGAATTTTCTGATAAAGATGAAAACCATTTATTTTATGAATGTATGAGTTACAATGAAAAAGATTATATTTATAATAATGATTTGGATTTTATAAAAAATTTAAAAATATTTGATAAAATTTATGAAATTAAGAGTATAGAAAATTATTTATACTGCAAAGATGAAGATAGTAAAAAAAATAAGAATTCTTGTGTAAGTTTAGATAAAATTTATTATTATAATAACAAAATAGAAAACCCTGATTTTTCTAATAATAAAGTTAATAAAAATAATGAGTTAATTAATGACAAAATAGCATGTGAAGAAGGAATAGATGAAAATATAAATCATTATCTAAATTTGGTTAAAGGATTTAGTTATTTATTAAAAAATTTTATAAAATATTTAAATGATGACGGAATGGCAAGGTTATTTATGAATTGTTCTAAAATGTTTGACAAAAAAGATACTAATGAAGTATCTTTATTTTATAAAGAAATGTATGAAAAAATTAAAAAAATGAAAAACATAACAAATAAGAATCTTGCATATATTTTAAACGGATGCAACTATTATTTAAAAGAAGAAAATTTTTACTTAATAAAACATTTAAAAAATGATTTATTAAATAATTTTCGTAGAAATGATAAAAAAAGTAATTTCAATATATATAACATTACACCATCACATTTAGAAAATATAGTATTCACATTTTCAAAGAATAATATTAAAGATGAAAAATTATTTTTATTATTTACAGAAATTATAAAAGAAAAATATGAAGGATTTTCTTGCATAATTTCCATTAATATTTTAAATAGCTTTTCTCTTTTAAATTATGAAATGTTAATATTTGATTTTCTATATGAAAAAATAAAAAGTTTTGACTTTATAACTTTTATGATGTGTAAAGGTAACAATATTATTAAATTAATAAAAACATTATTACAAATTGAATCTCGAAACTTCTTAAAAAAAGAAAATTCCAATATAATTCTCAAAAAAAGCAAGATGCATAATATAACATTGAGTAACAATAACATAAATGAGAAGTATATAGGAGAAAACACTATTGAAAAAGACAATCAAACATTAACAGAAGAATATATTTATATAAATCTTATTATTGCTTTATTATATGAACACAAAACATTCAAAAGGAACAGCTTAAATGAAAATATAATTTTAGACATTTATAAAAAACTTCTTAGACTACATATAATAAAAGTGAAAAATAAAAAAGATTTAAACATTTTAAAAAATATATTTAAAAAAAATTATAAAACATTTTGTATTAAAGAATTTGACAAATATTTTGTATTCTCATTTATTAGTTTAAATTTTAATAAAATTAATTTTCATAAATTAATTTTTGCATTACTAAAATATAATAATTTAATATGTGAAAAAAAAAGTACTAATAATTATAAAGAAAAAAAAAAAAAATTTATATAAAAAATTCTTTTTTTTTCTTTTTTTTTTTTTTTTTTGTTATCGTGTTAAAAAAACAGATAAAATAACAAATTAAAACATAAACATAAAAAAAATAAATAAAATAATAAATTTTAAATTTTATAAAAAAAAATATATTTTATAATTATTATTTCTTTTATATAATAAAAAAAAAAAATAAAATAAGAGAAGAAAAGAAAAAAAAGTATATTAAGTATCTATTTCAAAATATTTATTTAAGTATTGAGTATAATCTTCTTCTTCACTTGAATAAAATTTATAATCATTAAAATTTTCTGTAGTGTTATTAGTATCATTAGTATTTGTTTTATTATCTTTATTATTTTTTTCAAATGTATTTAATTCCTCCTTTGATTCATTATTATTTTCTGAATTAATGTTTTCTAGTATGGTATTTTTCTTAGATAATTCATTGTGGTTTTTATCATTTTGTAATATTTTCAAATTATCTTTATCTATATAACATTTTAGATTATTTGTTTTATTCATATAATTTTTTACTAATTTAAAAAAAACATCAGCTTTATTATATTTAAAGTCTAGTTTAATTAAATCAATTATCCCATTAATAAACCAGGGATAATTATCTTTTTTAATTAATTCATCTACATTTATTTCTTCATAATTATCAAAATTGTGATATTTGTGAATTAATAATTCCATTAAATAATTTTTATTATTATACAAAAATCTTATTTTATCATCTTTACTTAAAACATTATCTACTTCTAAGTTATATTCATCTGCATTATTAATTGTGTTACCTATTTTAATATGTTTAAATTTACAAAAAGGATTATTACATGAATTGAAAATTACGTTATTACGACAATAGAAAAGTTGATAATCATGAGAAAATATGCAATTTTTTTTATCACAAGTTCCTTTTACTAAAAATTTACATAATTTAGAAATTTTATAAATTGGTATAACATCATGAGAATAAGAACAGTTTTCATTATGAATACATTTTCCTTTTTTAAAAAAAAACTTACAAGTTTCTTTTTTTTGTTGTAATTTATAATCTTCAAATAAGTCTACTATTTTTCGTTTTCTATTTTTTGTTATACTTTTCTTTTTTTCATCAAGTTTTGCATTTTTTCTTTTCTTTTTCTTTTTTTTACTTTTTTTCTTTATAACTGAAGTATTAGTCAAACCACCTAAAAATTAAAATAAAAAAAAAAAAAAAATTTTTAATACAAATTCATAATAATCCATAATATATATTAAATGAAATATAAACAAGTGAAGTTATAATTTTATTTACCTGTTATGGTACTTATTTTTTCTAAAATTTGTTTGTCGTTTATTTTTTCCATTTTTTTTTTTTTTTCTTTAAAAGAAATAATATAAAACAATTTTATAAAAAATTGTAAGTTTTAAAATTTATGTTAAGAAAAAAAAAAAAAAATTTATTACGAAAAATAAAAAAGTATTCTAAATAAATTTAAAATTCTATAAAAAATATTGCATTTTTTTTTTTTTTTTTTTTTTCAAATTTGTATACATAAATTTGATTACAATTTACACGTGATTCTATTACAATTTCTTTTTTTTTTTTTTTTTTTTCTTTCTGTTTAACGATCGTTAATTATTCATATATAAACATATTTTAATTTTTTTTTTACTTTTTTACGAATTTATATAAATAAATAAATGCACAAAAATAAATAGGTTTCTTTCTTTATTCATCATTTTTTTTTTTTTTTCATATTCTACATATAAACGAATACAAATATGATACTATTTTATAAATATATAGGATATTGAAAAATGTAAACAAATGTTAATCATTACAATGATTTATTATCATGACCTTTAGATTGTCATCAAATTATAATTTTTATAAATACAGATTTTAAATGGTTTTTCACAAATATACATAAAAAAATGACTAACTTTACGTTTTTTTTAATAAATTATACATTTAAATAATAAATATCAGAGAAAATGTTATATTTGCATTTACATATTTAAAATAAAAAAATATATAAAATATATTTGAATTACTATATTTTTATATATTGATTATTTTTTATGTGAATGTAGTAAATATTTAAAAATATATATCATAATTTATCTTTATGATGTTATATATGTCTATTTTTTTTTTTTTTTTTTTTTTTTTTTTTTTTTTTTTTTTTTTTTTTTTTTTTTTTCTCTTATTCATATTAGGGTAATTAAATATTATTGTCTAATATATCACCATCCTTTTTGTATTATTTTAATAACACACTTTCTTCTTTTATAAAGACATATTTAAAAAAAAATGAATAACAATAATTCTTTAATATATATATATATATAAATTGAAAAATGTCAAAATGTAAATGTAAACGATTTTATTTTATTTTTTTTTTTTTTGAAAAACTGCAAGGTGAAAAAAAATTTGAATTTTCATTTAAAGTATTAAATAATTAAATACCCCAATTAATATATTAGTAATTCTTAATAAAATAATTCATTAATAAAGTCATATAAGTAAAATGAAAAAAACAACGCAAAATATTAAGAAAGCTAAAGTAGTAAATGAAAAAAGTAATATGAAAAATACTAATATCGAAAATGAGAAAAATAATAAAAAAAAAAAAAAAAAAAAAAAAATTCTAAAAAAAAAAAAAAAAAAAAAAAAAAAAAAAAAAAAAAAAAAAAAAAAAAAAAAAAAAAAAAAAAAAATTCCAAAGGAAAAGATAGAAAAAGAAGAAAAAGTAGAAATAACTGAAAAAAAAGAGCTATTAGACAACATTAAAATAAAAAATTACAATGAAAATGGTAATAAACTAATAAGCAAAATAACTTCATATATTGAATTAAAGGAAATACAAATCCAATATGATTTATTAAACAAATACTACATAGATAAAAAAACTCCTTTTTTTTATATTGATTTAAATATTTATAAATGTATATATGATACTTTTTTTTTATCACCAAAAGATAAAAACTTTGATAAAAAAGAAAATTTATTTTTAGAAAATTCTGTGTATTTTTATAACGTTATAAATAGTAATTGCTTAAATGTAATTTTCTATTTTTTGAAAGAATTCTTTAAAGAACATGAGTTAGAGTATTTTGAAAATTGTAGTGAAATTATGCAATTAACTTATTTATTTTTTTTTATTTTGCTAATAGATTACTATTCATTAAATGATAGTATTAAAATATACTGCATAGAAAATTTTAAAATACTTTTTAAGATAAAAAATTTGCTATATGAAAAATACATAAAATACATTAATAAAAATATGTTAAATAAATTCATTTTATTAAATAAAATAGAAAATAATAATAAGAAAAATGATTTTTTTATTTTTGAAACAAAAATAATAAATGAAATACTAAATAAAAACAAAATAGAATTTGAAAATATGACAGTATATATAAATTCATCCAAAAAATTAGATAAGTTTTATTTTATAAATTTACTTATAAAAAATAAATCTTATGAATATATTAATGGTAATATTTTTTTAGATTTATTTACAATTAATATTTATACAAATAAAAATTCTTCTACTTCTTCAAAAAATAAATTTCCTAATTTTTCTTATGAAGAAAGTTCTAATATTACCGTTCTAGATGAAAAAAACTTTTTCTTTATGGAAGAACAAGATAATTTATTTTCTTACATATATGAAATTGAAGTTCCTTCTAATATTTATAAGAATCAAAATTTAGATGTGTATTATATTGAATCAAGAAAAAACGTAAAAAATATAGAGTTATGTCAGGTAGAGATATTTAAGAGGAATAAAAGAAACTCTATGAAAGAAATTTTAACTGAAAATAAACAAAATGAAGAAGATTTTGAAAAAAAAGAAGATAACACAGAAGAAGATTATATAAATGAAAATGAAATGATAAATATGAATGGTAATAAAGAAAATAATATAAATGAAAACTATACCAATAAAAAAAGTTACATGAATAAAAATCTTAGAAAGGGAGATTATGAAAAAAAAGATGATATGGAAACAATTAATAATGAAAATGATATTTATAGAAATATTTTAAATATAAATGAAATTAATGAATTTGATATTGATTATAATGTAATTAAAAAAGAAAATAGTATATATGAAAAAAACAACATAAATTTAAATAATAGAGAAAAAAAAGTTGTAAATGATGAAATAAACTTAGTCAAAGTAGTAAGTGAACAATTTGTGCATAATAATAAAACATATTTAAAAATATATAGCAGTAGAATTAGTAATTATTATATTGATTTAAATAGTATAAATAATTTACCATATATTCATTGGAAAATAAAATATGAAAAAAATAATGTAATTATAAAATTGAAAAGTAAGATAATCAATGAATTTATCTTTCAAATAAATAATAATGGTATAGTACTATTAGATAATGGAATAGATGTTTTAAAAGATATTTATAATAATAATTTTGATATATATACATTATTATTCATAATGAAAAAAAAAGGAATAAATTTTTTAATTACAAATGTAGAAATTGAGAAATTAGAAAAAGAAAATTATAATTTATGTAATGAAATAATAGAAGAAAATATAATTAATGATATTTTATTATGTTTTAGATTCATAAAATTTTATTCTTCTAATCAAAATTCTAATAAATCTAATATAATAATAAAATTAATGGAAAACCAAGAAAAATTAAAACAAATATTTGCAGATTCTTTATATATAGAATATGAAAATAATTTTTGCAAGTATATATATATATATATATATAATAATAATAAAAATTAAAAAAAAAAAATAAACTGTGTTACATATAATTTAGAAAAAACAATATTCCTTTATAATACTACATATATTTATTTATATATTTAGTTCTCATTTTAGATTCTTATTATTTTATTTGTGTTTTTTTTTTTTTTTTTTTTCTTATTCTTAGAATTTCTAAAATTATGAAAGAAGGCAATGAAAAAATGTTCGTAAAAAATTTATCAAAACATAAATCAATTTTATTCTGTCTTTTTGAATTATGTGAATTCATTATTTTAAATAATAAAAAAGAAAAAAAAAATATAAATGATAATGGCAAACAAGAAAATAATGAAGAAGATAACAAAAATGACGTGATTCTTTTTCAAAATTTTTTAATAAATATATTTTCAAACAGTAATATTCAACAAACAAATGAAATAGTGAAAGAAAATGATAATTTAAGAAAAAATTCTTTACAGATTGTTAAAAAGGATAAACTTTCAAATTATCAATACAATGATATGTTTGAAATAAATGAAACAATACATAATTTATATTTGTTTTTAAAATTAACTAAAGTTATTTCTCTTACAAATATTTAAAAATAAAATTAAAATATATGTTTAAATTTATATATATTTTTAATTTATTTTTAAATTAAAAGGTAATTTCTGCAGCCTTTAGTGAATCTTTCTGCAAAAAAAAAAAAATAAAATAAAATAAATGATAAAAATAATAATGAAAATAATAATAATAAAAATAATAATAATAATAATAATTATATATGAAATATTACATAAGTATATACTTTCTCCTTATTTAATAATTTAACTCTTCTTTTATGTTTTTTTGTTTTTTCATGTTGCTTCATTGCATCATTATTTATAAAATAAATATCACAAGCAAAACATTTAAATTGTCCTATATAAAGTTTGTGTAAAAAATTATATGATTTCATTTTAAAAATATATTTTAGTTTTTATATATTCTTATTTATTTTTATTAAATACCACATCCTTTTAAATCTTCATCGTGAGGAAGATCTGGTTTGTTGAAATAATCTTTATAAACTATAAAAAAAAAAAAAAAAAAAAAAAATGCAATTAAAAGACAATATAAACATATATGATTTTTATATTATGTTTTAACATTTTTGATGAGAAACATAAATTTATTATAAATATTCTTAATTTACCTTCATCAAAATCTCTTTTCCTTTTTCTTGTTTTCAAAATTTTACTTTTTATAGTATTACGGGGATTTTTTTTTTTTCTTGATGATAATACCATTGTAAAAATATAAAACAATAATTACATAATTATAAATATTTTTCTATTTATTCTTTATTTTTACATAATTAAAAGTTTATTTTACTTTTGCTATTTGTTTTTTCCTTCTATTTAGGAATTAAAAACATTTTTTTTTTTTTTAAAAAAGCTATTCTATAATTTGTATGATAAAATATGTTACAATGAAATACTTAAAATTACATTTGAAAAGAAAGTTTTTTTCTTTTTTGAAATTTTTTATTTATATGTTATATTTATTAAAATTATAATTTTTTATGTTAAAATTAACGTTTCTTTAATATTTTTAAGTATTATTATTTTTTTTTTTTTTAAATTTATGAAAATATATATATTTAAATTTTAAAAAAAAAAAAAAAAATACGTCAATTCATTTTGATCAAATATTATTTTTTTTTTCTAAAAATAAAAAATTCAATGTCAATTTATCTTATAAATATTTACTTTTTATTTTATTTAATTTTTTTTTCTTTTTTCTCTTAAATTTTTATATAATTAAAAAGGATATATTAATTTAGATTATTTCAAAAATAAATTATCTCGAAAGTCTTAATGTAAATACTGACAAATTTACTTTAATAATTATAAATAATAAGTAAATTTTAAAAGTATAAAATTTTGATAAATTATTTCAAATTTTAATTATTTGTTACCAAATAGGTTTTTCAATTTTTTTTTTCTTATTTTAAAATATGTATAATTATATATTATTTTTTATTTTATATCTTTTTAATAGTACAAAATTTTATAATTATTATTCACTCAGAATTATGTAAAATACTTTTTGTATTATATTTTGTGTAACTTATAGATAATATAAATATGTTTTTTCTTTATCTAAAATATATTAACATGAATACATAAAATTAAAATATTAGTAATGTATCATCTTTAATAATATATATATAAAGTTCAAATGGGATAACGTCTAAATCAATAGAAAAAAAAAAAAAAAAAAAAAAAAAAAAAAATATATATATAGCATAATGGAATTAAGGAAAAATAAAAAAAATAAATTATATAGTAATGATGATCAATTAAAAAAGAAATTACAAGAAAATAATAAGGAATATGATAGTTTAAAAAATTTGCTTGTTTATAATGAATCGGAAGGAAATAAATATTCAGATTCTAATTCTAACATTATAAGTAATACATATGAAAATATTTATGAAGATTTTTCTTCCAATTATGATGATAGTTCATATAAATCTAATGATGACTTAACTGAATTTTATTTATATAATGAAATAAGTAATCATAAATATAATAATAATTTATATGATTTCTATTTGAGTAAATTCAATAGTAATATTGAAGAAAAAAATAAATTAAATGAGTCTAATTTAAGCTTTATTAATCAAATACCATATATAATAAAAAAAGAAAGCTATAATAAAAGTGAAAGGAACAAAAGCAAAAATGTAAAGAAGTTTGAAAAAAAGGAATATGAGAAAAGTAAAGAAATGTGCCATGTAAAAGATAGTTATGAAGACATTTATAACTATGATAATAAAGAAAATGAAAATAAAGAGAATGAAAATCTATCTGAATTAAAAAAAAAAGATAATATATCATGTAATTCATTAAAAATAAATGAAAATATTGTAATGAAAAAGGAAAATGTAAAAAAAGGTGATGCAGAAAAAAATGACAAATTAGAAATAGAAGAAAAAGCAAATATTGATAATGTGTATTTCAATACTTTAATAAATAAGTGTAATTACACTGTTTCATGTTATATGTATAAAAAAACTAATGCTACACATATTTATAGAAAAAAAATATTAGTTTTAAAAAAAAATTTTTTAATTATAAATAAATTTAAACATAATATCAATAATATGCATAAAGGTATACATAGAGATATTTATGATATATCGTATTCTAGATATAGTAAAATTTATAAGAATTCAAATAACATTTATAAATTTAGCTTATATGCAAGGAGATTAAGTAAAAATAATACAAGTTCCAATTCAGATAATAGCAATTTTTTTTCTTTAAAAAAAAAGAAAAAAAAGAAAAAAAATAATTATAAAATATCGAAAGATGAATACAATTTTAACAATGAACAAATTCGCTTAGCTAATCATAATTTAAATATAATTTTAGAATTAATAAATTTAATGAAAATTGTTTCCATATATGGTTCTTTAAAAAAATATATTAAAGTGGTAATTTATAAATACACAAAAAATTTATTTTTAAAAAATTATGAAATATATTGCAACACACCAAAGTATTTTATATTACTAAAAAAATTTTATAATTCTATAAATAGAAGTGTTTATAATTATATTTATGTAAATATATTAAAAATTAAAAACATTGAACAATTAAAATATAATTATATATATGCAATTATTGATGTGGATAATTTTTTGTATTATTATAAATATGAATATAATAAAGATATGTTTATACCACTATTTTCTGATAGACAAAATAAAATTAGTTTTAATTTTTACACAGATTATAACTTATATTTAGGATACTTTATAATTTACAGCTATGAAATTGAAAAACATATAAATTTTAATTTAAATAGAAGTATTGAATTAAATTTAAATAATTATCAAAATGATTCTTTTTTATTAAAAAAAGAAAAAAAAAATGCTTCAACACATAGTACAACATCATCTAACAAAACGGAAAGTTTATTTGATTCTTTTGATAAATCAGATTTTAATTTTAATGGTTCTTCTTTATTAAATCAGAAAAATATTATTTTTGATAAAAATTATTTTTTTGTAAGAAAATTATATAATGATCAAAAAAAACACATTCAAAAAAATAGTAAATATATATCCAATTCTAATGATAATATAAATATCCATTTATTTATATATAAAAGTAAAAATAGATTTGAATATTTATTACCATCAATAAATACAACTGATTTATTATGTGATGAAGATAATTTATATATATCAAGTAATAATATAAATAATAACTATCAATTAATTAATTTATTTTTAAATAATATTAAAAGGACTATGCAAATAAAAAATAAATTTAATTACTTTTTGGAAAAAATAAATAATATATTAGAATTTAAAAATTTTCTTGTTTCTGTTATTTCAATATTTTATATATTTTTTTGTTCTTATTATAAAAATTACATACATATAATAATATTATTAACAATTTTATTTATTTTGTTGATAAATAATGATAAAAATTATGATTTTTATAAAAATCTTTTATATGAATTCCCTATTTTATATTTATTTTTTCCTTATAAATTATTATATAAAATATCTAAAAAGTCTGATTTATATCATTTACATACATTCCTTCATATTTTTCTTTTAAATAAATTTCCAACATTTTTTCAATATCTTTATAAATATTACAAATATAAATGCATTTACTTTTTTGTTTATTCTCCTTCCTATTTTAACAAGTATTATAATAATTATTTTTTTTTTAAGACTAATAATGATATAGATAAAATGAAATTATCTGCTGGAAGAATGAGTAAAATAAAAAACAAAAAAAAAAAAAGTAATAGTGAAATTTTCAATCATAAATTAACAGAAGAAAATACCATTGATAGTAAGAAAAAAATAAATAGTATGAATAATTTAATAAAATTAAGTTCGAACTTTTATATAAATAACCATTACGTAAATATTCATTGTAAAACTAATGGATATAATAGTAAGTATGAGAACTGTTATAATTTAAATAAACAAAATGAAATTAATAAAGATAAGAGTAATGAAAATGAAATTGATAACAAAAGAGATGAACAAAATAAAACTAATAAGAATGAGAGTTGTCAAAATAAAATAATTAATGACTATAAATCTGATAAAAAAAATATTTCTAATATGAATAGTGCATTAAGTGAAAATGACAATGGAAATAATATCAATAAGAAGAATAACAATCAGAACAAAAACAATAAAAATGAAGAAAATATTAATGATAAAATTTTAAACAATTTACGTAGATATTTTAAAAATAAAAGTTTAAATAATATTTATACAAAAGGGAAAATATTAAGAGGAATCATAGAAACAGGTAATAATGATATTAATTCCATGTCAGATGTTGAAAAAAAAAAAAACATTGAAAATGTTAATAGCTTATATGAAGAGCATATAAATGATAAACATTTGAAAAACAATAAAGTCACTCATATAATTAAAAATGATAAGAAAGACAAAATAGAAAGTTTTAATTTAAATAAAAAGAAAAATTCAGAATTTCGAAATATTTTAAATAATTCTTATGAATTTAACGATTATAGAAGAATAAATGAATGTAGGTTAAAAAAGAGCTATTCTGAAATAAAAAATGGTCCTTATTTAGATAAGAAAAAAGATGAAAGAGATATATTTAGTGATATTGATCCCAAAAATTATATATCTAATAACTTACACTCTCAAGATTTATTATCAAATAATAAAAACTATGAAAATCATAAAAATAGTTATATAGAAAACTATAATAAGTTTAATAAAGAAATAGTAAGTTATTCAAATACATTATTAGATAATGACTCTAATATTAATGAAATTATTCTAATGGATTTAAAAGTAAAGATTATAAATAATATGAAAAATAATTATTACGATTCAAAGAATGAAGAAAAACTTGAGAAAATACAAGAGGAAAATATTACAGATAAAAAATATGATGAAAGTAGAATGAATAATAAATTTTCTTTTAATATTAATAATGAATATTATTCCTTTGATTACAGTTTATATGAAAATCAATATACTCATTACTGTAAATCTTATAATCATAGTTTTTCAAGTGGAAATTACAGTTGTAAAGATATAAAAAGTAAACAAAAAAATAATATTTATAGAAGTTATATATCAAATAATGAAGTATATAATAATAACGAAAGTTCTTTTTATAGAATTAATGAATATTTTCCTAATTATTTTTATAGTTCTATTGAAATGATATATATTAATATAATATTGATTTTTATTTATCTTTATTGTTTTTTCATTATAACAGTTCATGGAGGTTTAAATAACGATTTTCCATTATATTTTTATTTTTTAAATAAAAAAAAAAAAAAGGAAAAAAAAACAAAGCATAAAGAAAAAAAAAATAATTCTTCAGAACAAAATGATAAAAACTTTAAAATGTACACAAAAAAAAAAAGTGATGAAAAAAAATACAAGTCCAACTTTTTATTTAAATCAAAACATATTTTTAAAAGTTGGAAACAGAAAAGAAAGTTAAATAAAAAAAATATAAAAATTAGTTTAAATAAAAAAGAATATTATGATTCTAATGATAATAGAAAAAAGGATTATAATGAAAATGATGATTCATTATTTAATGAAAAAAAAAATGAAAATAATAAAATAGTAAGGAATTATTCTCTTGTAAAAGATGAATTAAGCAACATAAGCATAGATGATAATAAAAATTTAATCAATTATAACTTAGTTAAAGAAAAAGAATTAATAAATGAAAACGATAATGAAAAAATAAATATAAGGAATAAAAATTTTTTTCAAAAAGAAAATAGTGTATATAAAAATAACATTATTTATAATAATAGAAAAAATGATAATTATAGTTCTATTTATACATTTAACAAAAAATGTTATTCTACTGAATTACGTAATTCGTATGATAAAAATATTGTACTAAATAAAGATAAATTTTTAGACCATAAATTAGTATTACAAAAAAACAATTCAATGGACACATTACAGAATAACTATAAGCAGGATATAGAGATAAATAATAATTGTTCAAATGATAGTAACTTCATTAACAAAGATGAAGAAGAAATTAATTCAAGTAAATTTATATATATGAAAAAAAAGCAATATTCTAATGAAAATGATGAAAAAAAAAAAAAACATTTTAAATTTTTAGAAAAATTAAAAGATATTAAAGAAGAAAAAATTACTAAAATAAAAAATATTTATAACTCGGAGAAAAAAAATAAACGTTTTAAAAAAGGATTTAATCTTTTAAAAAAAAGAATTAGCAATGATAGCATTTTTGAAAATTTTAATAAATCTAAAGACACTCTAGATGAAAATGAAGATGAAGATGAAGATGTAAATGAAAATGTAAATGAAAATGAAAATGTAAAAAAAGATGTAATGATAAAAGAAAAAATCAATGATAAATATATAAAAAAAAATGATAAAATATATGATAATTCAGTTAATACAATAAATGTAAATGATAAAAATAATCAAATGAACATTAGACAAAAAATTATTGATATAAATAAAAATATCCAGAATGGCATTGAGAGTATATGGTCATTAAAAAATGATTATAATAAAAATAATACAAATCATATAAAAAATGAAAATTTTTTAAAAGATAATTATAATTGTTCTAATTATATTTCTAGAACTTCTACTTACAAAGAGGGAAATGTTGAAATTACAAAAAGTAATGAAATTAATTTAAATGGAAATAATTCTAAAAATTCTGAAATGGGATACATATATTCTAATATGAATAGTGATGTATCATTGATTAACGATAAAAAATTGAATAATGCATCTTTTAGTTCTAAAAGAAAGAAAATAAAAAATAAAATTATTTCTTATATGAAAAATAAATCTAATAAAGATCAGAAAAATAAAAGTTGTGAAACACTTCTTAATTCAAACTCTTTAAGTAGTTTATTAAAAGGAAAAATTCACTTAAAAAATGATAAAGAAATAATTAATTTAAAAGAGGATAATGAAGTATGTAATTTAAAAGATAACAAAAAAGCTGTTAATTTAGAAGAAGATAAAGTAATAACATATGTAAAAGATACTAATGAAATTATTAATATAAATTGTGATAATGAAATAATTAGTATACAAAATAATAATAAAGTAGTGAGTTCTAAAAATGATAATAAACTTAATTTTTTAAAAAATGATGATGAATTAATTAATGTAAAAAACAAGGACGATATAATTAATTTAAGAATTAATAAAATAAATAGTTTAAAAAAATATAATGAAGTTTTAAATTTAAAAGATGATAAAAAAATAATCAATTTATTAACTTATAAAAGGAGAAATTATACTATAAGTTCTAATATGCCTTATGAAATTAAGAATACCATAATTAGAAGAAATTATATTTATCATAAATGTTATAAGGGTTATTTTAGTGAATATGATGAAAATAGAATAATCAAAAATAAAGGGGATAACAAATATATCTATTCAAAAATGATTCATAAGAGTTTAGAAATGGTGAAACATAAATGTATTGAAGGAGAAGATAAGCATAAAAGTAAAATAAATGACATTCGTGCTATAAAAAATAGAAATGAATATAAATATGAAGTATTTAATAAATATATCACTTCAAGAAAAAATTCAAAAGAAAATTATAAAATAAACTTGGAAGAAAAAAATGGAACAGAAAAAAACTATATATCAAAAAAAAAAAAAAAAATATTCCTTCATATGAAGGAAACATTTATGAAACTTAAAAATAAGAATAAAAAAAATTTGTTCAAAGAGAAAGCAGATAAAATATCTCATAAACAAAATTCTATTATTAATAATGATTATGAAGAAAAAAAAAGAAATACTGCAAACAGATATAATTTATTTTTAAATGATTTTATAGATGAAAAATCTATAAATAGATTTAAAAAAAGAATGTTATTTATGAGTGCGTTAGAAAAAAATAACACTGATAAGTTATATTATTCTTTAGATGAATATGATTATTGTAATAATAATTTAAAATGTAAAATCAGTACAGAAAAAAAAAAGGAATATGATATCCATGATGAACATTTTGATAACGTAAATAATAAATTAAATAAAAAAAATATTACAAAAAATATATATGAATTAAACAATAATATGTATAAAAATAAAGAATTTTATGATGAGGTTGATAAAAAAAATATATCTAGTTTATTTAAAATAAATGAAGATATAAATAATTTAAATAAATCACAAATTTTAAAGAATTATAAGAGTAATAAAATTTTAAATAGTAATAGCAATAATAATTTTAAAAATGAGTTAATGAAAAATTTGAGTCAAAATGTCTTTAAAAAAAAGAAAAAAAGAGAAAAACACATTATAACTACAATGGTAAATAACTTTTATAAATTTTTATTAAACAAAAAAAAAGACTATAAATGTTTGAAGAAAAAAAATATCTTTAATAAAATTTATTATAATTTATTGATAGCTATAATTGATTATCTCTTAATTATAATTATAGCATACAAATATGTTAACAACATATATAATATATTTATATATTCTAAACATCTTCATTTAAAAACTAAGAAAAAAGAAAATAAAAGAAATTTAGATTTTAATCATATTGTCCGCATAATATATCATAAAAATGTCTTTTTATCTAACTCATATACTTTAAATATATATAAGCATAAAAATATATATTTAAAAAAAAATATATTTAAACAAATATTTGTTCAAAATAAAAAGCAAAATATAAAAATCAATGAAAAATATGATGAAGAAGAAGTTTCATCAGGTAGTAAACAAAATGAACAAGCAGAAATAAAAAGTAGTTTTGTTCCAAATAAATATTATGAAGAAATAAAAAATAGAAAAAATATTTTGAGTTTATATAAAAGTGCAAAAAGTAACATTAAAATTTTTATGTCCAAACATATGTTTCTTAATCATTATTTAGAAAAATTTCTAAATCTTTTTAATCATAAAAATTTCAATTTGACAAAGGTTTATATTAGAAAAAAAAAAAAAAAAAAAAAAAAAAAAAAAAGACAAGATACTATATTTTTATGTTATTATAAATACATTATATATTTATCTAATAATAATAAAAAAATATATATTAATTTTTTTTTTTTTTTTTACTAGATTGTAATTGTATTATTAGGATATTTTTCTCTTCTATTATTTCCTATAAAATTTCACCATTTGGTTATTTTGAAAATATTACATATGTATTATAAGGTATAGACATTTTTTTAAGTAATTATAAATTTCTTCTAATAGAATATATAATAATTTATTTTTTAAAATATCTATAGGGATTCTTAAGAAGATATCATAAAAACATTATATTAAATAGTATCTTAGAAAAAATAAAAAACATCAAAACATTTTTAAAATTGAATAAACCAATTTGCTCTTTAAGTGTAATATAAATAAAAAAAAAAAAAAATAATATATATATATATATATATATAAATATATATATTTATGTACTAATGACATTTTTGTGTAATATTTATAATATATATGTAGGAAGAAGAATACTATGCTTTGATTGAGGAAATTAACAAAACATGTAACCAATGTTTAAATATATCGCAATTTAAGGTAAGGATTTTTTTTATGAATTGATTAAAAAAAAATAATTAACTTATTTATTTAATACTGATATAACAAATATGATAATTCTTTTTTATTTTTTATATAGGATATTAATGATGAATATGATTTAGCATATATAATTATGAAGAATTTTAGAGAATTTTCAGAGATTAAAAAAATAATTAGGCATGAATGGAACTTTAACCTATTAAATAATTCACCACATGATAATACAAATATTTTTTAATACAAGAAATTATACTCTTTACTAAAAAAAAAAAAAATGCTACTTTTTTAATATACCTTTTTTTATATAAATTTTTTGTTTTTTCCTGTTTTTAAACTTTAAATTTTCAAATATTTTTTTAAAATTTATATTTAAATAACTTGTTTTTCTAATATATTAAGGAAAACTACTTTGGTTTATTTATTTTTTTTTTTTATAACAGTAATTTTTAATTTTACTTCATTTCATAATTCTTTTTAACGTATTTAAGTGAAATTTTTAAATTATATATATATATTTTTTTTTTTTTAAATAACTTTTTTTGTAATATATTTTTTTAAACTTAGATAATTTCTATTATATTGTGAAAAATTATATTTTTAATTTAATTAAATTTTTCTTTTTGTACCTTATTTGGATTTTAGGGTATAAAAATTTATAAAAAAAAAAAAAAAGATTTAGAATATAATTATTAAAATTTTCAATATTTCGAACTTTTTGTTATTAAGAAAAAGAGGTTGTAATAAGATAAGGGATTATGGATATTAAGAAATTCATAAAAAAAAAAACATGCATTAAAATTTATATATCAAATTATATAAAAATGGAATTATAATATAAATTACCTAACACTAAGCTAATTAGATCTTTTTATACGAAAAAAATTTTTTTTTTCCCATTGATAAAAATAAAAAAAAAAATATATAAAAAGGACCATAAAAAGTCATGCAGAAAAAAAAAAAAAAAAAAAAAAAAAAAAANNNNAAAAAAAAAAAAAAAAAAAAAAAAAAAAAAAAAAAAAAAAAAAAAAAAAAAAAATTGTAGTTTTAACAAAACATATAATAAAAAAAAAAATAATATAGAATATATTATTAAAAAAAACAAAATTAATTTTTTATAAGAAAGAATTATATATAGTTTTGACTTAATTTTATACTAATTTTATTTTTAATACGATTTTTGTTCAGGACAACTGTTCTATACAATTTTGTTTTTAGATATACATATATTTTAACTTAGAGAAAAAAGCAATTTTTTTTTTTTTTTTTTTTTTATTGAAAAATAAAAGAAAAAATCGTTCTTTGTTAAATTAAAAATTATATAAATATATATTATTAGTGTTTTAAATTTATAAAATTTAAGTATATTTCAAAGAAACATATATAATATTTATACAAACGTAAATATTAAAAAAAGAAAAATATATATATATATATTAACTTTTATATTTTAAATATTTAATGATATATATTTTAATTTTTATTTTTTTTGTTTTTAGTTAAATGCAATTGTAATGAATATAATAAATTTAAATTTTTAATTTTTTTTTTTTTTTTGGTTTTTAATTAAATGTAGTTGTAATGAATTTAATAAATGTTCTTTTAATTTTTTTTATTAATATTTTTTTAAATAATATTACATGGTATAATGTGAATTACAACATATTTAAATTAAGTTGTATAGAAAATGGTGTATTGAAAAGAAATATTTTGGAAAAAAATGAGAATAATAATGCAAATAAAACAGAAGGTCAGACTGAACAATTTGAAGAATATATACTAAATAAAGGAACAAATGAATTTGATAAATTACAATATAAGTATATGGAGTATGTTAATTTTACCATTAATAAGAGCAAAAATAAATTTAAGCATGCTTTGAATGAATTTTTAGTCTTTCTTGGAGCTCAATATAAAGAAGATGAAAAGATCATTATTAATGTGAAATTAATTGATATTTTATCCTTGTTATTTGCTCATTATAAGGATAATTTAAGCAATTTTGATCATTTTATAAATAGTTTTCAAGATAGGAATAAATTTATTAATTCAGTTGAATCAGAATATTTTAAAGAATTTGTAGATGAAAGAGATAATTATATTTTTAGCATAAAAAATTCATATTTTAAAATTAATCATATAGATGAAGATAAAGAACAAATTTTAAGTAAAAAAAAAAAAATTTATGAAATTTTTTTAAGTAATTGGAAAAATGACGGATACTGTTTCCATGATATTCATGAGAAAAAATCTTCCTACCTACCAAGAAAAATTCATTTAAGTGAATCATATAAAAATTCTAAAGAAAATGGTAAGCCTTTAAAATGTGTTAATTTGATTAGTAGTCCAATAAACGGTAAATATAAAAATTTAAATTATGAAGTTGAAAAAATTAATAAATCTAATGTTAATGCATCTAAAGAAAAAAATGTAAAAGAAAACGAAACAGTTAAAAATGATAGTAAGGGCAATAAAAATATAGAGAATAGTATTATGAGTGAATCTAATGAAAATCAAACTTGTGATATTTTAGCAAAAAAAAATAGTGAGAATATGAACGTTAATGCAATATCTGGAATTTATTATAAAATAAGAAAAAGATTTTTTTTAAATGGAAATCCGTTAAATGTAATAGAATTAATAAATGCTATAGTTTCAAATCATGATAATGAGGTGGTTTCAAAATTGTACGAAGGTTTAAAAGAATTAGGAATAACAACTTTTGAACACGTTGTTAGATATACTAATATTATAGGATTATTTTTTGCTTATGATATTTTTGATGAATTATATTTACAAATAAAATTAGTCAAGGAGTTTTTTAAATCTAGAAAAATTGCAAATCTTCCTATTTTAGACACAGAAAATGAAAAAAATAAAGAAAAAGTTTTTTTTGAAAAACATGAAATAAGTGAAGATGAATTTTTTGCTCCACCTAATTGTTTAACTTCCTATTGTTTATTAAAATCTTCATGGATGAAAAATAGAAATTTTACAATAAAAATTGAAAAAAGTAATACAAATAGTATCAATTTTATGACATTAGGAGATATTGGATATGGTTTTGATGAAGAACAAAGTGAATCTTCAGAAAAAGTTTTAAATTTCTTTGGTTTTAATGAATTAAAAAATACAGCAGAAACTATGCAAAAATGGCATAGTGATAATAAAGCTGATTTTGTTGTAAACTTAGGAGACAATGTACCAAAAATGGAATCAAAAGATTATATTGAGAATTTTGACTGGTATAAATTAATAAAGAACCTTTTTGTTTTTAAAAAAATAAGTGAATTACAATTTAATAAATCACAAGAAAAAGAGCCTTCTTACATTAAAAGTGTAGTTGATTTTTATGCTACTAAGCTAAAGAGAGCTATTTATGGAGATGAAAATAAAGATAATACTAATATAAATAAGAATTATGAAAATACCTTTAGTAATGAAAATTATGACAATCATTTTATTGAATCTCATGATAATTTATATGAAGATGAAGAAGAAATTGATGAATCTTTTGAAACAATTCCATTTTATTCCATATTGGGTGAAAAAGATTATTTATATTTTCCAAGTGAACAGATTCAAGAACATTATTCTAATAAAATTCCAGGGTATTTTATGCCTAATAATTATTATTCAATCGATTATGAATTTACTTATAATTCATTACAGGATAATGAAATCAATAGTAATGAAAAATTCACAGCATCTTTTATTTTTATTGATACATGGTCATTGATGATGGGATTTCCTATAATAAGAAATTATAGATCGTTTCGAGAACAGTATAATTGGTTAGGTAAAACATTATATGAAAGTGCAAAGAAAAGCGATTGGATTTTTGTATTTGGTCATCATCCTTTATTTTCTAGTGGAAGAAGATCTGATAGTTTCTCATATGAAGAACGTTCTTTTCATGAAATTATAAGGGATTTTCTATTTACTTATAAGGTTGATGGATATTTTAGTGGACATGATCATTTAATGGAATATATAAATTTTGGTAAATTAAACTTATTTGTTAATGGTTCATCATCAAGAATAATATTTGATGATTCTAAAATGAGTAGAGGATATTTTGGAAAATTTCTTGGAAAAATTTATCCTATTTCCTGTTATGTATTAAAAACAGTTCACAGAGGTCTTAAACCAAAAGGTTGTAATATTAATAGATACTCTAAATGGCATAATAAATCGGATATAGGATTTAGTGCTCATAAGTTAACAAAAAATGAATTTATTACTGAATTTATAAATGGAAGGAATGGAAAACCTCTTAGCCATAAAATTGTTATAGAAAATAAAAAACAAGAAAGAATAAAGTTTTATGATTTAGAAGGTTATGCAAATAATAGAATAAAAGAGTTGGAACAAAGAATAATAGAATTCGCTTCAAAAAATCCTGCATTAGTAAAATATAAAATTGAAGAATTTAAAGAAAATACTGAAAAATTCAATTTAATTATGGAGAAGTTAAAAACAGAAGAAGAAAAAAAGATTTTTAAGAATTTACTATTTTTAAATAATTTGGTTTTTGACATTTCAGAACATGTTATTAATTTGCCAATAAATACATTAAAAACCATGTATGAAATGGCAAACAAATATAAACTTTATTTTAATAAAGATCTTCCTAAATACCTTCTTTCATCTTTAGAAAAAGCCATACAAAAAAAAAATAGTAAAGCAGATTCAAATGAGGATGAAGAGGATGAAATTGAGGTAAATGAGAAAAGTGGTCAAATTGACGACGATAATGCCACGAAATTAATGGAGTCTTTAGGTGTAGACTTGGAGGAGTTTATCGAGAAATATGAAGAAATGACAACAGAACAAAAGGAATTTTTGCAAAATCAAATAGGTAAAGATATATTATTAGAAGATTATGTAAATAGAATTAGAACATATGTACAAAATAAAAAAGAAGCGGATCAAAATAATAAAAATGAACAATCAGAAGAAAGTAAAATGAAAACCAAAGGAGAGGAAGAGAAAGATGAAGAGGAAAAAGATAGTGAAGAATTAAATGGAGAAGAAGAAGAAATAAAAGAAGAAGAAGAAGTAAAAGAAGAAGAAGAAGTAAAAGAAGAAGAAGTAAAAGAAGAAGAAGAAGAAGTAAAAGAAGAAGAAGAAGAAGTAAAAGAAGAAGAAGAAGTAAAAGGAGTAAAGCAAATAAGAGAGAGAAATAAAAATGACGAAGAATTTCTATTAAATAAAAGAACACATAAAAGATTTAAAAATTTAGTAGCAAAAGAAAATAAATTATCAGATAAAGACTACCTTTTATTAATGTTAAGTTCTCTTAAAATTTATGATGAAAATAAATATTCCTTAAATATATCATCAAAAAAAGAGTTTATAAAAGATGTTACATCTTCAAATTATATTTTAAATATAGACCCGAAAAAAACATTTTTCCACTTATCCATTGAAATGGTTCCAGAAGTTAAAAGGATAATTAATAGTCTTGAGGGAGTAGGAAAAAAAAAACTTCTTTTTGATTTAATCAATAAATTATATGGAGAAATAATGAAATTAAAAGATGAACTTGAAAAAGTTTCCTTATAATTTTGTAATTTTAAAAAAATTTTTAAATATTTATAATTTCAAGTTCATTTATAAAAATGAACAATATTCCTAATTAAATTTATTAAAATGTCATTTAAAAATTTTTTAATTTTATTTTTAAAATACATCTTTTTGTTTTAAAATTTATTACATATTTTAAATTTTTATTAAATATGTAAATCATTTAATATATATACACATTTAATTTTTATGTCTATGATGTTATGTTGTATTCAAGAAGTTTTAATAATGATGAATATGTTTTTTTTATTTTTTATTGTAATTTTTTTTTTTCTCTTATTTTTTTTTTTTTTTTTTTTTTTTTTTTTTTGTATTTATATTTCACAATTTACTCTTAATTTTATTATTTTTGTAAACGTAATGATCATAAAAATTGTTTTAAATTTTTTAAATGTTTTTAAAACCTTATAAAGTAAAATTAGTTTTTATTAAAATATATATATAAAAAAAGTGTTAGAAAAGAAAGGTTATAAAAGCACATATTTCATGCATATATATATATATAAAATGAAAAAAAAAATATACAGTAAAATTACGCTTTTTTAATAATGCATTTTACATACTTAAATTTGTAGCATCTCTTTTATAGCACGTTATTTTTATTTAAAAGTTTTAGAAATATATAAATATACACCATTTATATATAAAAAAAGAAATGGGTTATTTTTTTGGAAATTATATTTATATGTTAAAATATTTATAATTTAGAAAATAGTTAATAGATTTAATAAGATTTTTTAAATTAATATTTATTCATACAAATTACAAAATAAAAACATAAAAAAAATAACTATATTATATAAATTAAAAAATTTCCTAATTTAATATATATATAAATTAAGGTAGCATATATATATTGTAAATTAAATAAATACATGGGAAAAAATGGGAAAAAAAAAAAAAAAAAAAAAAAAAAAAAAAAAAAAAAAGACGATATATCTTTATGAGTTATAAATATATGAAATAAATTATACACTGTAAATGTAATCGTTAACCTTTAAATTAATACTTAAAAAAAAAAAAATAGTTAATGAACAAAATTTATAATAAATATTTATATAAAATGTTAAAGAAGGAATATTTTTTTTTCTTTCTTAAATAACTTAAATGTATATAGAATTTAAAAAATTTCTATAAAATTTGTAATAAGTTTTTAAAAATTTTTATATTTTAATATTTTTGAAAATGATATAAAAATTATACTTGGGGTTCAAATATTGGAATAATACTATCTATACAATCTTTTCTATTCATTAAAATCATATCAGAAATCCATACTATGTTTCTAATTTCTTGTTCTTTTAATTTTACCCAAGCATAAAATATACCAAAATTACAATGTTGATCAAAAGCGGTTTCACATAATTTGACAAGTTTCACGTATAATAAATCTTCTAATGATTTTATTTTATTATCTACTATTTTGTTTTCACTTGTATTTTCACTTTTCATGTAAAATTGTTTACATTCTTCATATAAATTATAATATATGGGATAATGTTCTAGAGCTGCTTGAACAGTTTCATTATTCCAGCATTTTCTAATTCTATCTGTCCCTTCTGGATACAAATAACCAAAACATGGAAACATATCATTTCTATCTTTTTGTAATTCTAGACTTAAACTAGAATTAATGGTGTTTAAAGTCACTGATAAAACACGAAAATCTGCTACACGTTTTAAAATATGACCCATAACTTCTTCTGTTTTTCCTCCTAATTTTTTTATAAAACTATAAAAGTCTTCTAACCAAGCTTTTTTTAACGTATTTCTTAAAATTTCAATATCTATATCATTAAGTATGGTAGATACATTATTTTTTTCATTTGAAGAATTTGATGAGATATATTTATCAAAATAAGATCCAATGGGGGTTTCAATTAACAACACTTTTAAAACATCATCGTATGAATTTTTAACATCCATCGAAGTAATAGCTTTCATTTGAGGAAAATATCCAAGAGGATCAACTCGATATAATAATTCTTCAGCTGACTTTTTATTTAATGTTCCTTGTATTAAACTTATAACGTTGTCAATCATTTTTTCTTTTGCAATATATTCTAAAAAGGTTCTTAATGGCTCTTCTGCTTGAGCTCTTATATAATTAAATTCATGTGCCATTTTTTCTTTACATTTTTGGGCAATAGTTGTAACTGCAATTGGGGATGGCTCATCCATCATAAATGAACCATAATCAGTATCTTCTAAAACAGATTTTAAGTCTTCTAATGTATCTACTTCTGTTAATTTTTTATATTCTTCAGGTGTTAAAAAACTACTACGAAATCCTCTCAATAAGGCTTCTAAATAACCATTTTTTGAGTTATAAAAACAAAGTTCCATCTTCAAAAAAAATGAATAAAAAAAAAAAAAAAAACTATATTTGCAAATAAGAAAAAAAAATATTTAGCTGGATAACTATATAATATACAATTCGGCTTTTCTTAAAAATTAAACAATAAAAAAAACAGTTTATAAATATATTATTATTCGTTCCTATTATTAGTTTTATTTAATGGTACGTTATAATTATGTTATTTTAAAAATTCATGTTGTAATATTCTTTTAATATAAGAAACTACTTCTTAATTTCAAAACATTCTATAATATATACTTTTATTTCTGTACCTTTATGAAATATATAATACAATGGATTTCAACAAAATAATGCTAATAAAAAATCATTCAAACTCCCATATATAAATCTTAAAATATTTTTTTGTTATGTGTGCAAATATATGTAATTTTTTTTTCTCTGATTTAACATTAGAGAAAATTAAAATTTAAATATTTTAATTATGCTTAAAGTTCAAAAAAAAAAAAAAAAAAAAAATAATATTTATAAAGATTTAAAATCAAATAATATATTTTAATATGTGGTATATAAGTCCATATATATGTTTTTTTTATTTTAAATGTATATTCATATTTTATACATTTATTTACATATATTTATATATATTTATATATATATATATATAAATATAAATATAAATTTTAATTTAATTTTTTTTTTTTTTTTATAACTCTCATATATTTCCTATATGTTTGAATTACTTAAGAATAGAAAAATATTTATAATAAATTATTTACGAATGTTTAAAAATTAAATTTAATGATTTTTTAATTATTTAAAGAATTATAAATTAAGTAAACATCTTTTTCTCTTTTCTCTTTTTATAGCGCTCAAGAAAAAAAAAAAAAAAAAAAAAAAAATTTTTTTAAAAATTTA